CAGTCAGAGCTCTTCATTTCTCAGTCTCAAGGTTGTTTGTTGTTCCTTGTCTATAAAATTCTTTCTCCTGTCCTGCCCAGGTCCCTCCAGCAGGACAGTCAGAGGCACTCTGCCTGCCCCAGGGCAGTGTTATCTTTTTATACTAAAAACTACATGTAAAATATTTACAGTTACTTCCCAATATCCATCACCTGTGTTAGACACTGAGCTTCTACTCTAAACCAATCCAAAAGTGCCACCATCACCCAGAAGATGGAGGCCAAGAAGAAGAAGGAGAAAGGCTGGACATGCCCAGATCCCTCCATCTTGCCCCTGAACCCCCATTCTAAAAACCCCAAAATCTATTTTTCCCCCTGTGATAAATTCACTGTCATTCTACTTAATTTGTCGTGGCTTGCAGATCTTCATCTGAGGTTGGTAACTTGCTCCATGGGTCATAATCAAACCCAGAGGGGCATTTTGGGCTCTGTGCCAGGGTCCCTGAGCCCCCTGGCAGGGTCGGGGCTGCTCGGGACAGACAGAGGGATGTCCTGGCTCCTGACAGACAGGGTCACCTGTGCCAGCCTGGGATGTGCCAGGGCTCCCCCCTGGCCCTGTGCAGCTGTTTCTGTGCCAAGCCCCTGAGCACAGCCCTGAGCAGCTGGAGCTGGCTCTGTCCCTCACAGAGCTCCTCACAGGGAGCTGTGACCCCACGGGGAATCTCATGGCCTCCTGGCCCTTTGGAGAGCCACAGCTCAGTGTCTGGAAGGAACCCCAGTGGGTGCCCCTGGGTTTTCAGGAGCAAAGCAGACCTGAAGGTCACGGCTCACTCCAGAGCCACGTGGCAGCCCGGTCAGGACATGCACATCACAGCTATGACCAGCAAGGAAAAACCAAACCCACTCCCAAGGAGAGTAATTCAACATTTCATGGAAGGTATTAATTCATCAAACTGAATTTTTTTGGATGGGCACAAGTCTTCCTGGTACTTCAGATATGACATGTTTGTTTTAAGGTGTTGTCTCCCAGCAGACAAGGCAGCAGGAGCAGCAGCACCCGTGCACCCACTGACAGAGAAATGCCTGGTGAGATGCTGCCACGAGCTGCTGTGAAGCTCTGGATGCTGTTCCCCTGTCCCTTCACCCACAGGAGCTCCTGGCAACGCTGCTCGTGGTGTTTGCCACCAGCAGGGAGCTGCTGGGCTCTGCCCGAGCAGGAACTTACCCATGGACAGCAGAGATGGCTGGAAAGGACCCCGGAGCAGCCCT